AGTCGTAACATTAAAGTCGTAATTTTACGAGAATAAAGTCAAAGTTAAAATAAATCGTAATATTATGAGAATAAAGTTATAATATTACGAGAATGAAGTCGTAATAAAATCAAAGTCAAAGTGAAAAATGCTCCACACAGCAAAAAATATCCGCTGTGTATCTCGCGGATCCGCCCGGGACCCGTTTTGGATCCACTTTCAGAACCGGATTATCTGCCCCGGATCTGTTTATTGTGTCGTTAGGAGCCTAAATATGGTTATATATTTAATTCTGATCCACTTCCTATGGAGTGGGATATTTTAAGATAAAAGGTCTGTGGAGCCAAAAAAATAAAATAAAAAAAAGTTTCCATGGACATGAACACAAACTAAGTTTAGTTATGAGGTGAAAAACAATATTGGATGATATCTAGTGTTTTTAAGTATTTTCAGGCTGAGTTAAATCACGGGTCAAATTTGACCCGGTAACACTAAAGACGCGTGTATCTTTCTAACACAATACAAGGGTTAAGTTTGAGACACAAAAGAAGCAAAAGCACACGCCTGAGGTCCACAGCGAGCAGCACACAAACTGTTGTTCTGATACGACTGCTCCCTGTGACCATATTACACACAACTAACAGCTCTATGGGAGTCATTACAAATACTGACATTTGAAATACAACACTGTTATATGATTACCTGAACTGGACACCTGAAAGGCTCAGCTCTGGTTTCTGATGTGGCCTTTTTACACACATGCAGCTAAAAGACTTACACAGTGTCATCTCTAATAGGAAGATGAAAGCAGTGGATAAGAACCTGTGTTGTTCAGGTCATTCTTTATGGAATTAAAAAAGTTTAAAATTCATCCACAAACTAAGATGATGTTTAACCTGAGTCAATGCAAACTGACACTAAAAATGTATAAGAGCAACAGTTAGTGAATGTGAAGCTGTAACTCCATAAGAAAAATGTTAAACTAACAAATAAAACACATGAACGTTTGACTTCAAAACATTTGATTCACATTGTTCTTCCTTCTTTATGTATTTATTATTTTTAGATCTAATCGGGTCATTACAGGTCTGTAGTTTTGTTTTTATGGTTGTGTTTCAGTCAAAATAAAACTAGTGAAAGAACATGTGCAGGCCTCAGCTTTGCTCTGATCTGACACTGAACCATTTTAGGGTCTGGTCAAAAGGTCAAAGGTCACTGTGTGAGTTTGTTTTTTCTTGTATTGTCCCTTTAACTTGCAAATGTTCTTTTAAGTGTCTCAAAGCCAAACACATGAACTCACAGGTCCTTTGTTTTAGACACTAGAATCAAAACAAAGTGCATGCAGCTGCTTTTAAAAGTGAAATAAACCTGTACACTGCATCTAATGTGGTGTCACCATGTTTCAGACCACGTGTGTTTGCACTGCTGATCTAAACCTTGACCACTAACTCACAAATAGAAGCAGAAAATGACCAATAAACATATGAACAGTATTACATAGGGATAAAACATGAAGTCATGACCTTACAGTGTAATATGTGGCTGATTTTTACTGTGTTCTGACCTGAAAGATTTAATATTAGTAAATGAAAAGAAGACACAGAGCGTTGCCTTTCACGTCCAGATTGTGTTTGGGGCAAAGAGGAAGTTTTGTCTTTAAGCCCGACCTGGGGCAACACGACTGGCATAAATGTTCTGTGTCACCAATACATTTTTAATCCCTTATTAAAAACAGTAGTTACAGTAGTGTAACAAACAGGCTGGTTTGTTACCCCAGAACCACACGTAGCACCTTCACCCTTCACTAGAGCACTTTAAAACACTGCACTTTCACAGCACACAGCACTTTTAACATATTTGCACATCACAAAATAAATTGCACACAATTGGTTTTAAAAAAAATATATTTATTGTCTTTCCTTTAACCATGTTTAATTCCTGAGGCACAGTGGCACTTTAATTGGAAGCTGCTTGTCCCTGGAGGAAAAGGGAGACAATTATCAATTACATTTTAAATTGACTTAGTGCAATAAATATGGTGCAATATCTGTTTTAGAATGTTTGAAGTGTTGATGTGTTTAGTGTGATGTGACGTTCCGTGTCGAGTTTCGAAGCGTGTTAGAGGAGGGGGCGTTTCCGCGAAGCGCTTATCGAGGCTTGATTCATTTAGGGGAGGAGCTGAAAATGATGACGTCCGAAGCCTCGCTGCCCGGCTGCACCACGTGACTGATTCAGGAAGTGGTTCGGGTTTTGCCGCGAGTTTTGACAGCGATTAAACTGCTCAGTCTTCATTCAAAATGTGGGTGTTTGATGGAGAGTTGCTCAGTGAGAGTTTGGAAGTTTGGAGACAGTTTAAACTCACAAAAAAACAATTCTTATTTCTTAGGTAACAACCTGTGGTGTCGCCTGGATGACAGAGTCAGACAGACACAAACACAAAATGTAACAGCAGACGCACATATTGAGGTCCAACGGTGCGATGGAGCCAAATACTGGAAGGCTGGAGGACCCCTTCAATACTGGGAGAGACAGAAATATGTCTATCCCCATTTATATAAATTAGCAGTGGCATTCTTGTGTCGCCTGCCTCATCTGTGCCCTGTGACCGGTGTTTTCGAAAGCAGGAGAAATATTGTAAAAAAAGAAATGGCCTGAGACCTGCCACAGTGGAGAAACTGTTGTTTTTAAATAAAAACCAATGATGTGTCCCTGAACCATAATCACCCAACGTTACAAAAGCACAATCACTGTCCAAACTCCAACCCCAACCCCCCTCACCTCACTGGAAATGATTTAGCTTTTTCATAATTTCCAAATAATAATTTTCCATACTGGTTTATATATAAAAGTATTTATATATATTATATATATACACACACAGTATACATCACTACAATATACATGTTTTGCATACTTCTTTACTTTGCTGACAGTTTTATTCACAGGTTTCTGCAAAATGCAACACACTTCAAATTCATGTCAACTGATATTTTTTGTCCAGTAGGTTTAGAGCAAAGAAGCTTCAGGAAACTTTGCACCAGAGTGAAGCAACTGGATGAAAGGCTTCAATGCTTCATGAAGCTTCATCTGCCCATCACTAGTGTTTAGTGTATTTTATTGTGTTTTAATGAACGGTGTGGATCTGCTTTTACTTACCTCCCTTTTTTATCTTCTGTCCAGGTGTGAAAAGAGTCCCCCGGAAACGAGCTCCCTCTTTTATGGTTCCGGGCTGGACCACGTGTAACATTTTGTCCAGGGGTTTTAGGTTTGGTGTTTTATTGGTTTATGGGTTTTAACATTTAATTGGTGTATGGTTTTAGGGTTTTTATGTATATAGTTGGTGGTTTTAATAGTTATCTGGGTTTTGGGTTGTTTTATGGAGGTTTAGGTTTTGATTTTAAGCTAATGATCATTTTGACCATCCCTGTTTTAGCATAGTGGTTTTAGCCAATCAGTAGGACCGGCATAAAAGGCGCCTTCAAACATCAGTCTGGGTTCTGCTGCTGGAGAGGAAACTGCTGCCTGCCTCCATTTTGCACCCGGCACTTTTTGCACTTGCACTTTTGTAATCATTGAAAAACAAAAGTAAACCGTGGACCACAACTTCTTGTCTGTGTCGGGATTTGTTTTAACCTTGCTCACTGAACCCCAAGCCGCTCACGGTCGACCTACGTTACAAGTACAGTACTTATCAATGACACGTGAACAGGTTCAAATGTAAACTTAGCATTAATGTACCAAAAACAAAAACATATATTAAATTACTATACCAAATACCAAATTACCAAAAAAATAAAATAACAAAAACACTCTGTGGTGATATACTTAAGATGCACCACACAAGGGATTTAAATTCCTCAACATTTGTTATTTCTTTCCCTCCATGTCAGATCTTTACTAGGACCAAGACATGAATCACTCAGACAGTTTTGTGAACATCTAAAGCTGCAGAGAGTGGAAGAGCAGACTCTTGGACACTTTGAGCATCTGTGAAGACGAGACACGTGTTATACATAAAGACATATTGAGTTCACATTTTGGCAAAGTCTCAGGTAATGGACAAGAAGTAAGAAGAGAAGAGGCCTCAAAATGACCCCTGAGTGACCCTGCTGTAAACTGAAGAGAGAACGACTCAATATCATTTACCTCCACACATCACTGTTTGTCTGATAGATACAAGTGTGTCCATTTAACCATCAGAAGTCAAATGAAATGAAATACTACTACTACTACTACTACTACTACTACTACTACTACTACTGCTACTACTACTACTACTACTACTACTGCTACTACTACTACTACTACTGCTACTACTACTACTACTACTACTACTACTACTACTACTACTGCTACTACTACTACTACTACTACTACTACTACTACTACTACTACTACTACTACTACTACTACTACTACTACTACTACTACTACTACTACTACTACTACTACTACTACTACTACTACTACTACTACTACTACTACTACTACTACTACTACTACTACTACTACTACTACTACTACTACTGAATCTACAAAACACTAACTACCTACTGTTCAACAAAAGTGAGTAGCTGAAAGGCCAAACCCCAGTCAGTTTCACAATTGGAGCTAAATGAACAATACAAAACCATTATTCATGTGGAGTTGTAAATACTAAAAAATCTGTCAAACCTTATTTATACAATTGCTATTTAGTAATTATAAATATATTACAAATGTAAAAATAAATGAAGAGCAGCTAAATACTGAAGTCAAAACTCAGTTTTCTTTCCACTCTCAAAGACTCTCAGGGACAAACTGAAGCGTGTTTACCCTGAAACAAAGATTTGTCCCATTTCCCTGATGAATATATTCATGGATTTATTCACAACATTCAGGATTTATAAATACACATATGAAGCAAGTGAATGAAAAGCCAACCCTCATAACCTGACCTCAAACCTACATTTATTCCAAACACTAAAGTGTGTGACAGAAAAAAGGAAGAATTCCACTGAAATGATGTAAAGACACAAAGATGCTTTTGATGCACAGCTCTTTATTTGGAGCAGAAGCTCCAGTTGGGACAGAGGCCTGTGTGCTGTGCTGCAGTAAGTGAAGTGGAGCTGTAGCTGTAGAGGCGTGAGCTGACAGCAGAGGGCGCTCTGCAGGCTGATCCCAGTGACTGTGTCAGTGGTGGGAACACTGCAGTGTGCTCAGTGTGTGGGACACTGGACTCTGGGAGCCCTGGCTGGCCTCACAGCTCACAGCCACGCCCCCCTCCCTCCACTGCTGTGCGGGGAGCGTCAGGCTGCTGCTCCAGCTGTAGTGGCCGTCCTTTTGCGGCACCGCGGGGCTCCGGCTCTGCTCCCCGCCCGCACCGCCACCGGACACCTTCCAGGACACGCTCCAGTCTGACGGGAAGCCCTTGTTGGCCAGGCACACGAGGGTGGCCTTCCCCTGGGCCAGCTCCTCTCTGGAGGGGGGCAGCACCCAGAGGCTGGGCTCCACTCGCCCCACTGTGGACACACACACAAACACACACTTACACACACTGAAGGGAACATTTTTCTCATAATTGGTTGACAATATATACGTTTTAAAGATGCAAAGAACCCAAGGCATTCACTGGTTCAAATAAAAGGCCTTTATTACTGCAGATCTTAATGGACAACTTCCAAACTCTATGGTTTTCCTCAAGGGAAATTTGACTTTTTTTTTTTTTTTATATATTTAAGTGTGTTTCCATGGAGTTTTCCAGATAAAACAAAAGGTAATATTTGTTGGCATTAAAAACATAATTGTATAAATGACAGATGCATATTTTTAAATAATTCTGTGGAACATTCCAGGCAAAGCAATAACATCTTCACAGTATTCAGGTGGTGAACCTCACACCAGTAATCTCGGACTCTAATAATTTCCTCCAAAAATTAAATGCAAGTGAAAATACTGACAATACTACTAAATACTAAATAGTACTTTTTTTTTTTTTTTTTTTTTTCTCACAGCAAAAGTCACTTTTAGCCTGAACTGAGTGAAAACAGAAGTGAGAGGCTCCACTGAAGCTGAACAACAGAACAGTTTCAGACCTAAACATAAACTAAAAACATGAAGTTTAGTTGATCATGAAGAAAATATTATATTTATATTCTTCTTTATATTCTTTTTTTTTTTTTTCCAATATCAACATTGAAAAATAAATAAAATCATGTTCAATTATGATATACAATTTTAAACCTTTACTTATATCAATTAAATAAAATATATATATATTTAAAAATTAAATTAAAATACAGAATGCCATATTAAAATACTAAAATTATGAAATTCAAAAAGACTGATTGTGAATAAAATATTTCTGTATAAACTGAGGTGAATGACTGTGGGGATGATAAGAAGACACTGCTCACCCAGAACTCCAAACAGTATTTATAATAAAACAGAAAACAATCAAATGATGTCAGGCTTCAGAAATAGAAACAGATGAATCACAAACTAAACCAAAGTCTCATTTAAAGTGAAGATAAAGAGATGACTTACAGTTGAGCTCCAGTCTGGTTCCTCCACCGAACGTGAACCACAGTGATACAAACTCATGGAGTGGTCGTACAAAAACCTGCAGCCGCTCAGAGAACACCACAAAACCATTCAGCTGTACAGAGACTGATAAACAACTGACAAACAGCTCACATTTACACATTTAAACTGAAAAACACTGTTCACAAGGAGATGACTGTCTTGTTTTTTTTGTTTTTTTTTTACAGGAAAAGAGTGAACATTTATAATTATTTTATTAATCTAAAAAAAATCCACAACATAATAATAGAAACTGCCTATTAATAAAACTTAAATGAATGTGGTCAAACATAATATGAATAATGCAAACATCAAATAAATTACATTAACCGAGGAAATAAAATCTGCTTTTAATTTTCAAAAACAAAGGGGATAAAACACTTCCCTGGCGTCTTCCAAAAAACATGGACATGGACCCTAAACGGGAGTCAGTGCTGATCTAATTCTTAGACCCTGCAGCTGTTCAGTGTGCTCCATGTCTGTGTGGGAGCCTCATTTCCATAGACAAACACTTTGCATGAACAGCTGCATGGTCCAGTGGGACACTTTATAGTCCTGAGAGGTGCACTCTGGAGCACTGGCAGCTGTCCTTCATGACAACACAAGCCACATACGGCCTCCTCATCACCAACATGACTTTGGTGTGCGTCCTCATGTGGACTGTCCTCTGCTGCTGCTTCACAGGTAAAGTCCAGAGAGTCCCACTGCTGTCCTCTGTCCACATCCGTCCCTCTGAGACCAACCAGACTAAACCATCAGGTGCTTTGTGTTTGTGTGTTCAGAGTCCAGAGGACAGGTGACAGTGAGTCAGGCTGGAGCAGTGAGGGCCGCCCTGGGGGACACCGTCAACATACGCTGTACTGTCAGTCAGAATGTGTACAGCGCAGCTATGGGCTACCGCTTACACTGGTACCAACAGAGAGATGGAGAGCCTCCTAAAGCTCTTATATATCTTGCATCTACTCGAGCGTCAGGTGTCTCCAGTCGTTTTTCAGGCAGTGGATCTGGATCTGACTTCACTCTGACCATCAGTGGAGTTCAGCCTGAAGATTACACTGTGTATTACTGTCAGAGTTATTCATGTAATCAACAGTCAGTGTGTTCACACAGTGAAAAAGACTCGTACAAAAACCTCCTCAGACTGAACTGAAACTGACTCACTTCACTAAACTCACACTGAGACACAATATAATGAGAGTTAAGCCCATAGTTATTTATTTTATTTGTATTTCTTTATGTATTATTATTATTATTATTATTATTATTATTATTTATTATTTATTATATTTTATTATTATTTATTTATTTATTTATTTTACAGTCATAACTCCATTAGTAATAGAAAATTATGGCTTTTCTTTTACAGTTAAAAATGTTTTAAAATGTGAAATTTATTTGAATGAATAAAATTAATGTAACGTGATGTTGCTGATGAATGAACAAAAATATGAAGACAAAGAAGAAGTTAAAATAAGAGTCAAGTGTAAATGTCTGTGGAAATAAACACTTCAAATATATTTTGATTTATCATTTTATTGTCAGTTCAAGTTATACTAATACATGTGTTTTACTAGTCCTGCTGTAAAGTCACATTTTTAACACACTCAATTATTCAATATAACAAATGTAAAAAAAAAAATATTAGACGTTTAACAATGAATTAGAAAGAGACAAAAACACTTCCCTGAGGTCCTCCACAGGAAAGATTTGAAATGATCTTTAAAGGGACACAGTGTTGGTCTGCAGCTGTGTTCACTTCATCCTCATTGAGATCGAGGCTTTTGATCATTGTTTTAATCAATTATTCATTGATAATTGTCCACAAGAAAAAAGATAAAATGAGGAAATATAATGTTGACACAATACAACGACTAAATGAACAAAAGGTCATATCAGTGTGTCTATGCACTTGTCTGGAAAACATTTAACTTACATTTTGGTCAGAACTCAAAAACTAAAGTATCTTTGTGTAAAAAGTATTTAACCTTAATAATATTTTCAGATATTGGAAAAGTAATATTAATGAATCATCTGGTTTCATCTGTTTTCTCTGAATCAAAGTTTGTTTTGAATCTGAAAGGAGCAGAAACACATCCCTGTTATCCACAACATTCACATTTATCAAATACATTTTATTCATATTTATTTCTTCCTGTAAATTACAATTGATAATCTTTACTAATATAATCTTTACTAAATGTTCACTTTACTCTTCAAATTTAGTTTATTTAATCATTTAGTTATTTATAGTAAAATGGTGAGAACAGAACCTGTGTCTTTTCGTTCATGTGCTTCTCTATCAGTAATATTTACAGATTTAGGATTATCTTTTAATCTCAAACATTTCAGGGTCGTAGAGTTCAAAGGTCACTGTGTGAGTTTGTGTATGTGCTGCCTCTGCTCCAGCTCTGCTCTCTGTAGTGGTCAGTAGTGGTCATGGGCCCAAAAGTATTAAGGCAAAAAATCAACCCACAACTTCACTCCTTACCTTTTCATTTCTCCCATTAGATTAAAAAAAAAAAAAAAAAAAAAAGGATAAAATTTGACTCTGACCTTAATTTTTTAAGAAAACACATTTAAATATTAGTAAAATCTCTTTTATCCCATTTACATAATATTTGTAAGGTCAGAAGTGTCCTGTTCAAACCTGATGTTGAGAAAGTTGTTCATGTTTTTGTTTGGATTCGACTGTTGTAATGCACTTTATGTTTGTCTTAATAATCACTCACTAAACAAACTCCAGTTCATTTCAAATCCTGCTGCTAGAATTGGAACCAAAACTCAGCGCTTTGAGCACATTACACCCATTTGATTGTCACTTCACTGGTGCCTGTTAAACAAAGAAGTGATTTTCAAATGTTATTATTGCTCTTTAAATCTCCACATGCTTTGGCTCCTTCCTACATCTGTGACATGCTTTTAGAAGTCACTCCACTCAGACGTCTCCGTTCATCCAATCAACAACTTTGAACAGTGTCATGAATACAGCCCCGATCTGGTGAGGGCGCCTTCATGTACTATGGCCCAATTCTCTGGAGCTCTCTGACAACTCCCATCACAAACTCTCACTCTGCTGCTGTGTTTCAAACTAGGTCATTTTTATTCATTTTTATTCTGTTTTTCACTTTTTACATATTTACAATTGCATGATTTTATTCTATGTTCCTGTTCTGTATCTGTGCTGTACAAATACAGTCATGGCAGGGACAGCAGATAAATTAGCCTTGGCTATAATCTGATAACATATTTACATATCATGTATATGTTCATTAATGTGTTTTGTCCCTATTTTCTTAAATAAATAAATAAATAAATAAATAAAAATGGCACAGACCCTGCAGCTGTTCAGTGTGCTCCATGTCTGTGTGGGAGCCTCATTTCCATAGACAAACACTTTGCATGAACAGCTGCATGGTCCAGTGGGACACTTTATAGTCCTGAGAGGTGCACTCTGGAGCACTGGCAGCTGTCCTTCATGACAACACAAGCCACATACGGCCTCCTCATCACCAACATGACTTTGGTGTGCGTCCTCATGTGGACTGTCCTCTGCTGCTGCTTCACAGGTAAAGTCCAGAGAGTCCCACTGCTGTCCTCTGTCCACATCCGTCCCTCTGAGACCAACCAGACTAAACCATCAGGTGCTTTGTGTTTGTGTGTTCAGAGTCCAGAGGACAGGTGACAGTGAGTCAGGCTGGAGCAGTGAGGGCCGCCCTGGGGGACACCGTCAACATACGCTGTACTGTCAGTCAGAATGTGTACTATACCAGCTATGGGCACCGCTTAGCCTGGTACCAACAGAGAGATGGAGAGCCTCCTAAAGCTCTTATATATCTTGCATCTACTCGAGCGTCAGGTGTCTCCAGTCGTTTTTCAGGCAGTGGATCTGGATCTGGTTTCACTCTGACCATCAGTGGAGTTCAGCCTGAAGATTACACTGTGTATTACTGTCAGAGTTATCATGAAATCAACAGTCAGTATGTGTTCACACAGTGAAAAAGACTCGTACAAAAACCTCCTCAGACTGAACTGAAACTGACTCACTTCACTAAACTCACACTGCACAGTGACACAGAATATAATGAGAGTTAAGAACAGGCTGAACAGGTAAATTATTATGTTATTATATTATTAAATTATGTTATGCATTTATTTATTTATTTTTAAACACACACACACACACACATACAAAATAATTTACAGTCAACATAGGTTTGACCATTATTAAATTACACCATCATGTTACAAACATTTGACTGAATAAAGTGCATGTTCAAAAGTCATGTTAGTGATTGTGGAGAATCAACAACTTTAGAGTCTTTCACTGTGAAAAATGTGAAGATAAAGAACAAGCAAACATAGGACTCCAGTTAGAATTCCTATGTAGAAAAAAAATAATTTAAAACATAGAATTTATTTATTTATTTATTTATTTATATTTGAATCATCAATTCAAGGTAATACTATTGACTGTGTCTTGGTAGTTCTGGAGTAAAGCCAAATATTTTTTATACACGTCATTATTCAATATAACAAATATTAGACCTTTTACAATGACTGAAGACACTTAAAACACTTCCTTGGGGTCCACAAAAAAACAAAAAACAAAACCTAAAATAAGACAAGAAGCTGTTAACACAACAACTAAATAAACAAAAGGCCAACACTGATAACTTTTTTTTTTAAACCTCCAACTATTTTTCTTCCAACATTTCCACAACATATTCAATATTAACCCAAATATAAAGAGTTTGGTACATGCTGGTGTGTTTTTGGCTGCTGCTGCTTTACTCTGCATTTTCAGTAGTTTTAACTGTTTGTGGCACTGTAGTTGTGGTCTATGTGGGACTCACACACTACTAGAATCATCACCTCGATACACTAACTGTCGTGGTGTCTGTGCGTGTGTTTGAGCTTCATAGCCGAGCCCCGCAGGCGT